GTCGCTGCCCGGGCAAAATTTCCCTCATACCACACTGTATGGCGTATGCCCGTCTTCATTAGCCCAGCATAGGAGCAGAACAGTAGGACGTTAAACCCCATTTTATTTCATTTTGTTTCACTCCTAGGATGAAAACCATACCCTTTAACTTGATGACTTAATGGCGGACCCTGTAGTTTAAGATGCACCTGTTTGACATTGTTCATATATTTTGCAAAGTTTACCACATAAAGTGCACAATTATTGACAATCTATTTTTATGGTTCTTTCAACACCATAAGGTGCACAAAAAAAAATAAATCCAATATCTTCTAAGTATTAGCACTAATCAATAATTCGTGTGACAGGGCTGGTACAAAAATTCAAATAATTCTAGGGTTTAAACAACTGGTTGCCATGCAAGATACGCCAATATTTTGCAAAATTGGGTTTTTCATACAATCAGTTACAGTTTGATATGCCCCAATAGTGACATGAAATGAGATCTTTGGGTCATAAACATACATTTTAAGTTTCATCAAAATCGGATAAAAATTGTGACCTCTAGAGTGTCAACAAGCTAAAAACGTGATTTTTCGTACAACCAGGGGTCGTAATCCATGAAGTTACAGTCGGATGCATGGAAAAATTGAAAGGAATCAAGAACTTTGGGATATAATTCTATATATCAAGTTTCGTCAAAATCGGATAAATAATATGCTCTATATGTGAATGGATGGACAGACAAACACCTGGATGAACAGGGGCGACAACAATATCCTTCCACATGAAAATGTGAGCATATAAAAAAATCAACCGTGTTATGAAAAGTTCTTCAAAAAAAATTGAAAAATTCGCAAATGAATTCTTCTGGGGAATAAAACCCTCGAAGAAGATAAATAACTGTCTGGACATTTCACAACATAAAATCCCCTTTATACCAGCAAGACAAGAGAGGGGTTTAAAGAATAAAAGTTGCGATTTTGAATGTAAACTTGTATTTACACTATAGATCTGATTACTAAGTCTCTTCACAGACGTGTACCATAAAGTGATTCTCGTAATTAATTCTATTTGTAACTTTCGATCTACAAACTCAGCCATTCATAACATGGCTGACAAATAAAATAACATTCACCAAGGAATTAGAATCATTTTCACTAAATTCTTGTAGGGTTTTTTTTTTACTTTTATACAATTTATCGTGGCTGTCGAGAGAATAAAAAATTTGCTGCAAGAAAAGATTTATCAATACCCAATCAAAGGACATGATTTACATCTTAATGCAAGAAAAACAGTTTCAAATCTTATTATCAACCATATCATTATCGAAAGACAATTTCATCAGTTACCATGGCAACCAATATCTACTTCGTACGCAGGGAGATGTACATGTAAGAATATAAAATCTACCAATAACTGCCTAGAAAATACCTTTAACATACATTATGCAAGAGCTAAATCTGCCAATTGCAGGTCTTTCTTTAGGCCTGAAATGTTATCTAAATTATTAATTAGACATTAATTAACTTATCCAGACCATAATCAGCTCTTGATGGCATCGCTAGCCTGTGATCTTTGGTGGATTATGAGCTAATTTACTGCATAATTTTCCTTCGCGATTTAATAATATTTACTGGATTATGATCCCATTTGCTACTCGACTTCATAATTTAATCATGAAATGGATAATCGATAAATGTTTTTTATCATACAGACTTTAGTAATGATGATTGAGGCTAGGCCAAAATTTCAATCGATTAATTCTCGGTTCATAGTGGTTCAATTTGACTGAAATTTTCAGCATGTTCCCTCTACATTATCTAATTTGTAACTATTATAGTGAGAACTTCCAGCTCTTTATCTTATCTCCTATAATGTATCTTTAAATTGATGAAATTCCTTAAACACAATATCAATGTACTTTCAAGATTACCGCTTAAGTTTACAATCGTTATAACTATGGGAGGACAAAGAAAGACCCATAAGACAAGCTCTCGAACATGACACATAATATACAGAGAGAGAGAGAAATGGGGTTTAACGTCCACTTGACACAAACTAGGTCATTTCAGGGCTAACATATGGTTTAATTTTATTTACATAATTCGCTTGCGCGTAGGGGTCTTTAGCCGTGGGTGGAAACCGGAGGAACCGGAAAAAACCCACGAGGTTGGAGAGGCGACCCTACTCCTTGTCACGTACATCAGTGGAATGAAAACCATACCAGTTGACTCAATGACAGACCTTATGATACAACGCGCCATCCAACCCCCCTAATATACACAGACATTGCAAGTTATAAACAACAAACATATTATACATCTATCAAATGGAGGGGCTAGGGAGCCACTGTGGCTATATATTCTTAGGAATAAATATGTACAAGAGAGAGAGAGAGAGAGAAAGAGAGAGAGAGAGAGAGAGAGAGAGAAAAATGGGGTTTAACATCCACTCGACACAAACTAGTTCATTTCGGGACTAACATATGGTTTAATTTTATTTCAATAATTCGCTTGTGCGTAGGGGTCTTTAGCAGTGGGAGGAAACCGGAGGACCGAGAGAGAGAGAGAGAGAGAGAGAGAGAGAGAGATGTGGCTTAATGTTCATTTCGGGACTAACATATGGTTTAATGTTATTTCAATAACATAGGGGTCTTTAGCAGTGGGAGGAAACTGGAGGACCCTACTCCTCGTCACATACAACCGGGGATTCGAAACCACGCCAGTTGACTCAATAACAGATTTTATGATACAGCGCGCGCACGCTAACCATTCAGCCATCCAACACCCCATGTACAAGAACCCACGGGAATGGCAAAATGGATTCAAAAGGCTACGACATTACAAACTGGCATGAAATCTGGGGATCTGTTAACTTTAATCTAAAAAGCACAGATATGATAGAAAATGATTATAAAATTGTACACGATGTTATATGGACTAATGAAAAGCTATCCAATATCGGTAAAATAGATTCGCCGTATTGTACATTATGTAAAACCGTTTATAATGTAAATAATGTTATAGAAGACATAGAACACATTTTTCTTAATTGTAAAACACTAAACAGCCTCCAAGAATTAGTTAAATCAATCATTTTATTCTTCTTTAAAGAGACAGCTTACACGATGTACAGCTTAAATTTGGATACCCAGTCAAAAAACATAAGCAAAGTAGATTCCTTAACATCGTTTTTTCATCGTACAGATTAAAGCATAATGAAGTGTAGGCTCTTTTTCAATATGAATAATTCAAAAATAAATGTTTGTATATTATTCAAGAAGATCTTATCCGATCACTATGAATATATGTACCATTACATGAAAAACACAAATATGACTTACAATTTTTAATTCGTTGTCAATAATTTTAATGTAGGAGTTCTTGCTAATAATTATTAGCAAGAACTCCTACATTAAAATTATTGACAACGAATAAAAAAATTGATTTTACATAAAGTTTTATCTGTACATCAACTTCCTTTTATTTTAAATGTTTCAGATTAAATCGCACATGTGTATCATTATATTTATATGTGATATTTTTTGTTTGAAAAAATAATTGTATCAAAAAACAAAAAAAAAAGGTGCTGGATGTCGTGGGTTCGATCCTGGTTTGGATCGAGATGATTTCCGGCATTGGTTTCCCCATGTCAGTGGTGTAGGACGGAGGGAGTGACAAGGACAGTTGTCTAGTCATTCGGATGGGACGACCGAATGGGATGAAAAACCAAGGTCCCGTGTACATGGGTGTGCATGTAAAAGATCGCTTGGCAGATGGAATTTGATATAAGAGTAGTCCATAGTGCTGCTGTCCAGGCAAAATTTTGTTTTTTATAGTTAAAAATTTCGTTTTACTTGTCTTTACTACACTAGTTGTTATATAACCCACATTCTGCTTGATGTGAGGGATTAGCCAATGAAATGATCTGTTGCAACAAGTTCTTGGCATGCGATGCATGGAACTGTGGGTATCCTATTAGAAACATCAACACTGATTGGTTAATCAAATGTCTGACATCATTGGATCAGATCTTCATGTAGTAGGGGCCATCGAAAGTATAAAAAAATACAAATAAATATAGATCTGTATCCTAATCAGATTGTAAACATGGGAAAATAGCTACTAGTTTATTTTAGGACATTTCGAAGAGTATTATCAAGTGCAGGGGTACCGTACCACAGACAATTACACAAAACAAATCTACGGACAAGAAACAATACGCAGGAATCACAAACAAACGTACATAGCAGATTAAGTGAATGGATCCGGGGCTAGCCGTGAAAAACAGACAATCATGAATATATAACCCAGAGAAAAATATTGTGTAATACGAGTTATGATCTGCTATTTGCCACATGAAATACATATTCCTGAAGCAATGGCCCAAGAAATCCCTCTCTGGCCATTGCTGGATTGGCTTCTGATACTCGAGCTTTTGAGGGAGTGTGTCTGTTCTTCCCGTTCAATCAAATCTATCCCAAGTACAGCAACATGACAGCCCTTCGTCTAATATGGGGTCTTCCCTAAAACTTTGGAAAATGATTTAAGGTATTAAAAATGGTGAAAGTATTGTTCGTCTCCAAACAGTATTGTTTACATTGTATTCGTTTTGATGGCCTCGTTGGTCACGCAATTAGTTTTTCTGCAATATTCTGCTATGCACTGGTTAATTGGGCATAATAAAATCATGAGTCATGACGTAACGTTATGTAAACATATTTGATCCAATTTGGAGCTCTGTTTAAAGCGCAATGATATTGTTACGCAGTTAGCTATTGGTTGTTAATCGGACTATTGACCAGTCATAATTTGGAACAGAAATTTGCATCCTTTACAGCAGTGTTAAGTGGGATTAGGTATAATCAAATGAAACACTGCGAGGAGTATGCATGAAATTGAAGTAAAAAATTACCTATACAAGTAACCATATTGTTGAAATGTATAAAAAAAATAGGTAGTCTAAAACTAAATGGTCAATGTTATCAAGAATGAAGTATGTTATTTTATTCAACTTACCTTCTGTAACAGGTAAGGAATATTTGGACTTGGCACTGATTGTTCTCACTGGTCTGTGGTGATTATAGTAACGAAAAAAATAAGGCTGTGGTACAAAGGCTCGGTTGGCTGGCACTGTCTTTGGTCGGAGGTGACCTTTCGGGTCAGGAAAATCCGAAAAAATCTCAGCTTGATTAGGATTCCGATAACTTCTGAAAGCATAAAAAGAAACATATAAGATACCAAGGCTTACAAAGTGGAAGTGCTCTCTGACCTGCCTTCCTACGTTCTTAGTTTTGAAACCCCTTAGAAAGGCCATTTTTGTTATGCTGACATATTCTCCTTCGGGGATTTCAATATGGAATGATTGGTAGCCTCTCCATGTAAACTGCAAGATGTTTCTATACAGTGATCTGCTCTTAAATCCAGTGAATATCAGATATCAGACACATACGATGGCATTGAGAGTTGATTATGGTCTTTTCATGTTAATAAATGTCTAATTAATAGTTTATATCACATTTCATATATATAATTTATACATTTATATAACATTTAGCCTTGTTCATCCAGTCACCTCATTACAATTGGCGCTCAAAAGCATTCTGGAATGTAACTTGTGTGACAGAGATTAAAATTTTCATTGTGTCTTAAATATTGGATACCAGAAGCTTATTATTAAATGGTAAGATGACAACATCACTGTTGATTTAAATTGACCAATAAGTTGTGTTCGCAATGTCGAAGACTGGATGATACTGAATTAAAGACTTGGCTACTTTAACTATAGAATCTTTTTTTACATTAACACGATAACAATGTTGAAGTATGAATCGGAGGTTATCAGCCATTAAAACTACAAATTTTAGTGACATTAAGAGCCATTTTGAACTTATCGCTATGGTTACTGTGCAGCTGATTCATGCAACTTTTCAAACCCAATTGACAGCATTTATGACACAAATGACATTAATAGACATATTTTACGGAAATAAAATGCAAATTAAAGTAGAAATGAAATGAAATGAAATGGGGTTTAACGTCCTACTGTTTTGCTCCGATCGGCCTAATGAAGGCAGGCATACGCCATATAGGGGAAATTAGATCAAATATTGAATTCCATCTGTCAAGAGATCTTTTACGTGCACGGCAATGTGAACATAGGACTTTAGTTTTACATACTATCCGAATGACTATATGTTGTTCCATGGTAGGTCCTTTATCCTGCATCACTGACAATGGGGAACGTTGTTATCTTGTATGAGAGAGAGAGAAATGGGGTTTAACGTCCACTCGACACAAACTAGGTCATTTTGGGACTAACATATGGTTTAATTTTTTTTTTCAATAATTCGCTTGCGCGTAGGGGTCTTTAGCAGTGGGAGGAAACTGGAGGACCCGGAGAAAACCCACGAGGTTGGACAGGCAAACCTACTCCTTGTCACGTACAACCTGGCATTCGAAACCACGCCAGTTGACTCAATGACAGGTCTTATGATACAGCGCGCGCACGTGCTAACCATTCGGCCATCCAACCCCCCGTAATATACACAGACATTGCAAGTTATAAACAAAAAACATATTATACATCTATGACTTGGTCAACTATTCATTTTGATTAAAGGATCAACAACCAGATCATGACACTAATTTCTTACATTCAGTCTAAATATTCACATAATTAACATTGTTAGTATAAAATTCATGCCATATTACCGTATTCACAGTGATAGAAGTAACCATGTGTACACATAGAGAGAGAGAGAAATGGGGTTTAATGTCCACTTAACACAAACTAGGTGGTCATTATTTCGGGACTAAAACATGGTTCAATTTTTATATTTCAATAATTTGCATGCACGTACTGGTCTGTAGCAATGGGAGGAAACCGGAGGACCCAGAGAAAACCCACAAGGCTGGACAGATGACCCTACTCCTTGTCATGTATAACCGGGAATCGAAAACACGCCAGATGACTCAATGACAGACCTTATGATGCAGCGTGCACGCGCTAACTATCCGGCCATCCGTACAACCTGGCATTCGAAAACACGCCAGATGACTCAATGACAGACCTTATGATGCAGCGTGCACGCGCTAACTATCCGGCCATCCACCGGCCCCTCTCTTGATAGCACAGAGTGGTTATTACAATAAATACAGTAATAAGAACTGTTTATTTTCTATTTAAAATACCATATTAATTGCATATCTCGTTTTTCTCCCTCTTAGTGTTAATTTTTAGATGGTATATAACAATAATAATTCCATAGCATGCTAAGAATTCCATACAATTAATAATTATATATGTCAGGTCATGAATCATTTTCTATTTCAAGATACAGGTAAGACTAGTAGACATTTCACATGCAGAGTCAGATGAAGACATACACTCTTACAATACATGTTTGCAGGTACAAAAACGAATGTGCAAATATAGATAAGAGAGAGAGATGGGGTTTAACGTCCACTCGCCACAAACTAGGTCATTTCGGGACTAACACATGGTTCAATTTTATTTCAATAATTCGCTTGCCCGTAGGGGTCTTTAGCAGTGGGAGGAAACCAGAGGACCCAGAGAAAACCCACAAGGTTGGACAGGCAATCCTATTCCTTGTCACGTACAACGGGGGAATCGAAACCACGCCAGTTGACTCAATGACAGACCTCATGATACAGCGCACAAGTGCTAACTATTCGGCCATCCACCCCCCCCCCCCCACAGAACATAAAACAGTTGTTCCAGTAGCCACATTGATTCAGTGAGTAAAGCACTGGGCCGTTTTGTCATCTGGATGGTACGAAAAAGCATTGAATAAGAACATAACGCAGTTGTTCCAGTAGCCACAGTGATTCAGTGAGTAATGCACTGGCCCTTCTTGTCATCAGGATGGTACGAAAAAGCATTGAATAAGAACATAATCACTTGTAGCCACAGTGACTCAGTGAATAAGACACTGGCTCACTAACCATGTATGATCCCAGTGTTGGCTAAAAAAGTTTCTTAGAATTTTCCATTACCCCAGTCAGAGCAGAACAGTATGACATTAAAAATTCCATTTCAATTCTTTTTCATTTGTCATAAATGTCTAAATAATAATTCTTATAACATTTGAAGCTAGGAAAAAGACCTGTGATAGGCAGATTTCGCTGTGTATCTTTAATAATCTAGGTTCATTATTATCAGGTTTTATCATCGAGTGCACTCCTCGCTCTCATCGATTTCACATTGACAATAATTAATCTATAACATGGTAAAAATCTATCAAACTTAATATTTCTGGTCAACGCCCGGAAAGATTAACTGATTAATTAACTAAAATAGTACTGGGTATTATCTTGATAAATATATAACACCTGAACCGATTAATCATAATATTATCAAATCAATAATATAGAAAGAGAGGAATGGGGTTTAATGTCCACTCGACACAAACTAGGTAATTTTGGGACTAACGTATGGTTCAATTTTATTTCAATATTTCGCTTGCGCGTAGGGGTCTTTATCCGTTGGAGGAGACCGGAGGACCCAGAGAAAACCCACGAGGTTGGACAGGCGACCATACTCCTTGTCACGTACAACCGGGGATTCGAAACCACGTCAGTTGACTCAATGACAAGCCTTATGCTAACCATTCGACCATCCAACCCCCCAATCAATAAAATAACACATAAGAAATGAAATGAGTTTAATGTCCTACTGTTGTAAATAAAACAGGGTGCTCAGGGAAATATTGTTCAGACATTGGCACTACAACCTACTCTTTATCTTATATCGAATTCCAACTGTCAAGGGACTTTTTATGTGCACATTAATCTGAACGACTATACGTTGTCTTTTAATAATATAACAGGTTGGAGTGTGGGTTGTTGACAATCTGATTAAAACACAGATCCGATTTCGTTTCGTTTTTTATAGTTCAAAATTTCAGTTTACTTGTCTTTACTACACTAGGATCTGGAAGAGTTGTTATATTACCTGCATTCTGGATGGTGTGAGGGATTAGTCAATGAAACGGTTTGTTATGGCGAGTTTTGGTGTGAGGTGCACAGAACTGTGGGTAACCCACAAGAAACTTCCATGCTGATTGATTAATCTATGTCTGATGTCATAGGGTCAATAGCCGCTCTTATGACACTGACGTGACCTTCCACTACAACCAGTTAGATCTTCATGTAGTATAGGCCATCGAAAGTATAAAAAAAAAACAACCAAATATAGATATGTATTTTAATCAGATTAGGTAGTTGAGTGATCTAGATTGTAAGGTCTGGTGCAGTTTCATCAAAAGTATAATAAAAAAACAAAACCAAAAATAGATCGGTATTTTAATCAGATTGGGTAGTTGAGTGATCTTAATCGTAAGGTCAGGTGCAGTTTCAATTACAAGCATGTATATGTAATAATATCAAAGGAAAAATGCTCTTCAATTCATTAACTAAAAGCAAAACAAAATCGAAAAGATAAAGTAATACAGACACTTAAAAAAAATCTCTTTTCACTTTCAGGGGGTCAAATATTTGAACTATTTCACCTCAAAACAATACGGCTTTAAGATTTCTTTTTATAAAGAGAGCTTCTAATGATTTCACTGGAAATTCACTTTAAAAAGACGATACAATAAATTGTTTACCACACTCAAGAATGAACACCAAGTCTCTCAATAACATGTGTTAAACTAGATACCCCGAGTTATACATGATTAGAATGAACACCAAGTCTCTCAATAACATGTGTTAAACAATTTAAACTAGATACCCGAGTTATACATGATTAGAAAAAAACGTAATAATAACATTCTTTCTTTCTGTCAATGGTAGATATGTAAAACAAGTGGTATATATATACTATATACTATATCTACTTTACTTATATCATAACATACAGTACTACTGTACCTGTTGACAGACTAGTCTCAACATTTCTATATCTAGATAGTGTAGAGAGAGAGAGAGAGAGAGAGAAGACGATAAAACCTCACACCCATAGGAAAAGAAGGGTGGAAGAGTCCCTATAACAGTGCAGGCAAGCATGGATCTCGGTGAACCATGAACCATTCCTTGTAGATAAATCATAGTAAAAAATCCCTGGTAGTAAAAAATCCCGGTAACAAACTGGTTGTGGGGAGAGAGAGAGAGAGAGAGAGAGAGAGAGGTTTTAACCTCCACTTGACACAAACTAGGTCATTTTGGGACTAACACATTGTTCAAT